ACATGCGTGGTTTGAATGACCTTGAGGGATATCGGATTAAGCTCGCTGAACTAACTACCAATGGGAGTTAGCATATCCCTGGTCGAATCATTGGCTTGGTTAACTTGGATTGCTGTTCTCAGGGCTTTCTATACCAGAACACCTAGGTCTCTTTCTCACCGTAACAACCCGAGTACTATCCCATAGAAATGGAAAGAGAGGTACTAGTTTCGGTTCTACTATGCACTTTTCCAAAGATATCAGAGGTTGATGTGTACAATGTGATTTCGTCGTCCCGATGAATGTCCTGCCCATCTTCAGCGAAGTTTTCTTTCCGGATCTTGATGTCCCCCATAGGTCAGCCACGAGAACTGGATCCTTTTGAGCAGGTCGTAATGTATAGTAAGACAATGTTGGGCTGGGAACTGATCGTTTCGGCACGCCACTATAAGCAACCAATCTTATCTATACACCTTTGACGAAAAACAATTACCGGGCTAAAAAGTCTGATGTGCGGCTTAAAGTGTCACCTCTAATCTACTGCGCGATAGTTTCCCGAAAGTCTTAGTTAAGACAGCGAGGTCAACGTCGCTCCACGAAACTTTAGCTGCAGTTCGTTTGCAGTTCTCCGGCTACCGATAGGCGAGTCAAACGAGGGTAGTTTAGATGCATTCGTGCTCGCAGGCAGTGGCAGATTTCTCCCATACAAACGATGTGTACGGCTAGAAACGATCCCTTTCAGCACTTAGCGAGACTATTGTAATTAAGTGTTATCCCCGATTCGGCGCCTTAGTATCGGAAAAAGATTGGCCAACAAGGAACACAACAGCTTTGTCGCGAACAAGTGAGTGCAATAGTCAGAAATGGTATCGCAGTATTTAAAGCACACTTTAGACCTTGATCCAGGCTATCTGATCGGCGGTGGGTAGAAACCCGCCATAGTCCACAGTGCCTCTGTAGCATGCCTGAACACTCATCATCGTTGGCAGCTGGCTTTTCTGACCCGGATGCTTGACGGCTTTCCTACTGTGATTTCGGTGGAGTTTGAGAGTCTCAGTGAGTTTCGGGAATTCTTTTTTTTCACGAATCTGACCTCCCTGACTGACATTAAGCTGACTGTTCGACACGCCTCGGTATGTTTACTCCCATATTTAATCATTCGATTGATCGCCTCTCAATTCGCAATTAACCGTCCTTTCCGGTACCGCTACTGATACTACTGAGCAGTGTATTCAGTTATTCAAAGGAATCACTTAGTATTTTGTCAACTGGTTCTTATATACCGTAGCACTGACGCACCGCCACGTTGCTTGGGGCATATCGCAAATACCAATAATTTTTTCAAACCAAATTTCAAACCAAACTGGCAAGTACGAACTTTCAACATAAACGTTCGCACCGCGTAACCTGGCGGCCGCCAACTACAAATCAACCGTGGACCCAGTTGGACCACGTGGCCATCAGTCA